CTTAAGCCACTTTTATTTGGATTTTTCTCTTATGTCAGTAGTCCTCAAACCTGGCTACACATTGGAATCCATGAAGAAGCTTAAAATAGAACAAGAACAACGAAACCAGAAATCAAGATCAATACCCAGGATCCCTATTGATCTGGTGTGTGGCTCAGGCATCCCTTTCTAAAAGTTCTCCAGGGGAGGCTCATGCACAGCCACAGCTGAACCACTGCTTAATTACACTTGTCCGAACTGATTCTGGCTGATAGGTGGCTTGCTGAAAGGGTGTCTTCTCTCAAGGAGTCCAGGGAGAAACCCAGGGCTCCTTCCTCTGCTTCCACAAAGCTCAGTGCTTATCTCTATCAGCAGGTGTCTCACAGCTTACTGCATTAGTCTGGTTTGTGTCAACCTCCTCACTGTCCTCTGAGCTCCTCCAGGGTGGAACCATGTTAGACTTATCCAGAGTGGTTGGTCTGTGAGTGAGAGCTCTTGCAAGGTCTTCAAAGCCCTACACGGTCCAGTCCTTGCCTCCTCCGTCATTACCAGGCCCTCATCACAAAATCAGTAGCTTAAGACAGCACAAATTTATTGTTTTTAGTTCTGGAGGTCAGAATTTCAAATGGCGTCTCCCTGGGCTGAAGTCTGAGTGTTGGCAGAGCTGTGTTCCTCTTGAGACACCAAGGGCAAAATTGTTCCCTTTCCTTTTCCAGCTGCTCATGTTCTTTGTCTTGTTGCTGCATCACTCTAACCTCTCCTTCCATTACTCTCTCTCTCTCTCTCTCTCTCTCTGACTCCTGGTTCCCTTTGATACAGACCCTTGCAATTACACTGGGCCTAGCAATACAGAATATTATTCTCTCTGACAATTACTAGCTCTAAATTCCCCTTTACCATGTAAGGAAATGTACGTATGGGTATCAGGTATTAGGATGGAGGCATCTTTGGGGAGTTATTATTCCACCAACAAAGTCAGTGAACATGGTGTGAAGCAAAAGGAAGTAGGAAGACATTATGGTTTAGATCTAGAATGTCCTCCAAAGGCTGTGTGTTCAGCGGGGCACCTTTTGGAAAGTGATTGCACCACAAAGGCACTAAGCTCATCAGTCATAGCTGAATGGACTTTTAGGAACTGGGGCCTGACTGGAGGAATTAGGTTACTAGGAGGCTGCCCTAGAAGGGTTTATCTCCACCCCGCAACTTCCTTGCTGCCATGAGCTGAGCAGCTGTCCCCGGCCATGATGTTTCTACCTCACCTCAGGCCTAAAAGACAGAGCCAGCTGAAGCCATGAGCCCAAATAAACCTTTCCTCCTTTAAGTTACTTGTCTCAGGTATTCTGTCACAGCAAAAAAAACAAAAACAAACAAAAAACAAAACTGACCAACACAACAGGGCTTTCAAATTTGCAAGGAAAACTAGAAATATCTTTGTTTCTTCTCCCGCATGCCCTCCTCCTTCTTTCCAGTTTTCTCACCTGAGTCTTCACAGTCTCACTAGTGTTATTAGGGTGTCACTGGGAAAACAGAAGCCACTCTAGGTGTTTTGAGTAGGAAGAAATTTAATACAGGGAATTAGATTTACATAGTGTTGGGAGCCTGGGAAATCAAGGGCAGGAAGCCATTTTTGGGAAGTCTGGAAATGTTGGGATTATGGGGAAGCTATCACCAGTGTTCTTTGCTGCCCATAGTCCAGAACTGGACACCTCTCAAAGCCATGGATAGAAGTCCACATTTACAGATGCCCACACATCTGTCTGTGTGCTATTACCCTAGTGCTATTTATGTGCCTGGGCAAGAACCTGGCTTCCAGTCTGAACTTGGAGACTGATCCCTTGTGTGACCTTGGGCAGGTCCCATTCCCTTTCTGGGTCTTACTTTTCTTAACCTTAAAAATGGGGTGCAGAAAGCAGAGGAAGAAAGACAGGCAAAAAGAGCACTGAATTTGTGGAAAATACTCAAGGCTGGTTTTGTCTGACAACATTCAGACTTTGGTCATGTTCCTAGGATGTAAGCTTCACCTGGGAGTTGAGGAAAAATACACACTTTGGTTTGATTTTTAAATGCATTTCTATTTTTAAATGCCCATTCCCTGGAAATCCCTCAGTGTTATGACCCAGTCTTCCATCCTCAGTTCAAGTGCAGACAGTGATTATAGTCAGTGTAGAATAAACAGTCCAGTTCACATGACTTTTTGTTTGGAATCTATGTGATCTGCTCATTATTCTCAGAGCTGGAACCTGCTTCAGTAACTCCCTAGACATATAAGGCTGTAAAACACTGAAGAAGAGAAATAATTTCTCTTTCCCTACTCCCCATGCCAAACACATTCCTGGTTGACTTTCCCTTCTATGATGACCCAGCTGTGGCTTGTGTTTTCACCCTTTGCCTTTCAATCCTTTTATCTAACGCTCAATGGCTCCAGGCCCGCATCCATTACAGAGGCTGGACTTTTTCTCCCCCTAAGTAAAAAGTTGAACCCCAAACATTCCTGAAACATAGTGATCCCTCTGCAAAGCTAATTTGGGCATTTTTTCCTCAGCCACTGTACAATCACCCTTCTCTTCAATCCAGAAATGTGAAGCACTGTGGAAGGTTCTTAAGTTTTTTAAATGTTTCTACAAATGTCTTCCAACAGAACTGTTTGGGGGAATTCTGCTGCTGGCCACCATTTATGAAGTGCCCAGGTGGATGTCCCGGATGGAATCTAGGTACAAAGCACACAACATAGAAGCCTCACGATGGAGTCATAGAACCCCCAGACTACTAAGGCCAGTGCTCCCCAAATATGGTTGCACATCAGATGCATATCAGGAATTTAAAACATATCTGGGCTCCAACCTGTACCTAATAATTTAGAAGCTCTGAAAGTAAAGACTAGGAGATTATATTTTTTAAAAAGTTCTTCATGCTAATAAGTTTGGAAGCCATTTGCATAGTTCAAACTTTAGCTAATATTCCCTTTCACAGGATTCTTCCAAGTAGTTGTCTATGCCTCCTTGTTCCCCTCCAGGGATGAGGGGGTCACTACCTTTCAAGGCATTCCTTCCCATCCTTGACCAACTCTGCTTTGCCAGGAAGTTTTTCTTCTGCTTCCCTATATCTTGCCTTCATGGGTCTTGCTTTGCCTTCCTGGACCCACACAGAGACTGCTTTTGCCATTCAGAGATTTGAAGGGCATACATATCTTGCCCCTTTAGTTCTAAAGTATAAATACCCCCAGAACACAACCTTTCCCCTGGGGTGCCACTTCTTGTTGCCACCAGCCTCTCAGACACGCCCAGCTTTCCAATGCAGTCTGATTCCTTGGGGGCTGCTGCATGCTTTGTCATGAACTCACCACCTGTTAATGACTGACCGATTTATCGCTAAGTCTCAACCCCAGAATGCCAAGTGTCCAAGGGTTGTGGCCTGTCCACATGCTGTGGGGGAGGCAGAAAAACTTTGCAAGAGGGTAATGTGGTTGCTGGGGAACCCCAAAGGAAGTGTGGGCATTAGGGTGACAAGAGGCAGAACATAGTGCCTCCACAAAGGGCTAAATTCTGCACAAGTGCTGTAAACATAATAACGATAGTATGGCAGCAAAAGATTCCTTTGACATGTCGCTTAAGAAAGAACAAGATGTGTTAGGTTATGTTTGGAGAGGTGGGGATTTAATGCAGGGAAATGGGGAGTTCACAGAAAGGGCCAGAGGAAGACCAGCACTGAGCCCTCCACCCCCAAGCAGCATGGATGAGGCCCGCCAACCTGTTACCAACTGAGCCCACCCTGGAGCTACCTGACAAGACGCATTCCCGAAGCTGTGATTCAAAGAGCAGGTAGCCGGAGTGCAGCGGCCACAGCCGCAGCCGCCACTCCACAGTCAAAAAACCAAAAAAGGGACAGGAATGCTGCTGAAAATCCTCCTGTTTCTGCCAGTCCTGCAACTGATGCCCACAAAGGGCAAGCAAATACCCTCCACCTCGCTCCTCTCTTCAGCATCTGGCTGACTGGCAGCACCAGTTCATAATCAGAACTCTAGCTGCAAAGAAGGCTGGGAAACACAGCAGTCGGCTTTCAGACCTCTTCAACCAGAAGGAGAGCACATGAAGGTGGAGTGAGTGAGATAGATCTGAGCATCTGTCTTTGCATCCTTCAGAGCAACACGATGCAGAGCACCAAATGTTCAACAGTCAGCCAGGCGTGGCGGCACATGTGTGTAATCCCTGCACTTGGCAGGAGGATGCTGAGTTTGAGGCCAGTTTGGGCTACATAGTGAGATTCTGTCTTGAAAAACCAAAAACTCAAACCAAAACTAAAACCAAAACACAAAACAAAACAACTGGCTAACAGAGCTCCTACAGTGGGCTTGTATGCTGCTTTGCAGAGGATGTGGTCTGTAGTAATAGAGCACAAAAGCTCCTAATATAGTGGTTACAGTGCTATGGGTTTTTTTTTTTTTTTTTTTAAGCATTAGAATAGAAACCACTATATGATTTCATTTTTATTAAAAGATGTTTTGAAAGATGCAGGGGAAAAAGGACCAGCAAGATAAACATCCAGTCTTAATAATGGTTACCTTTGGGCGACAGGATTATAAGTAATTTTTTTTTCTTCTTTGTTCATTCTTTTTATATTTTCCAAGCATATATATTTGTCCTTAGGGCACAAAATGTGGATTTTTAATAAGGCGTACATATACAGTCTTAAAGGAACTGGGGAACACAGAAGTGAAAGTTCGGAAATTGGTTACTCAGGGTAAGAATGAGGGAGAAGCAAAGCGGAGAAGGGGTTAAAAGATGGCAGTGGAGTCAGGCGCATCCTGAGCCAGGGAGAATCTTACTCCTTCCCCATTCTAGGTCTCTGTTTCCTTTGCCAAACGAGAGCCTTGGGACCTGTCTTGAGCCCCGCAGCAGCCCGCCCCACGGAGCCGCTGGCGCTGTGCGCTCTCTGCGAGGCCGGGACAGACGCGCTGGGCCCAGGGGCGTCCTGGGAGGCGTGGCCGGACCTGGGCCGGCGCTCCGCAGCACTGGGCGGGGCCTGTGGCGGTCCGGGACAGGCGGGGGGACTGGAGCTGGGAGCGCCAGCCCTGCTCTGAACCTGGACTTCAGCTGCCCACGGAGCCAGCGGCAGGTAGCTAACTCCCTTCCTCCTGGGCCCCGGCCCTGAGAGCTGGCCTTGTTCTCTGCCCCTTCCATCCCTGTTCTCCTTCCCACCTCGCTTCCCGCCAGGTGGCCGGGAACGCGGACCTCCCACACCTTCCCAGTTAGCTCGACCCCAGCGCCCACGCGCGCTCCGCCCACTCCAGCGTGGCCCGGATGTAGCCCAGGGCGGGTGAGGTGAGCGCTACCAGGGTCTCCAACACTGAGAAAGCACTGTCCTTTGTTCAGTGGGCCCTGGTACAGGGTGAACCGTAAAAAATTCTCGAGGAAATGAAAAGCTAGGTCTGTGCAAACTCAAGATGAAGCTCCTGTACTTTCTTGCTTTGTGTCTGCAGTGAGTCCATAAAGGCCTAAGGTTCCTTTTTTTTGTCCAGAATAAGGGTCACCATGTGTGCTGAATACCCAGGGGGCTGCAGGGAGGTTTGGTGAATTTACACCGGGACAATGATCTGCACACGATCAAGTGTGCGCCGCCTGTGAGCAGTGGTCTTGCTATGTGCATGTGCAGGTGATGTCGGACCCTATGTGGGCCCTGAGTAGGAGTAGCCTTAGCGTGAGCTTTTAAAAGAAGTTTTCCAGCATTGATCTGTGACCAGCTCTCCTGCCTGCTTTTGACCTCCAACACCCCACCCGGTGGGTGGGTGAGCTCCTTTTTCCTCCACTTCCCCTGGGACTTTTCCCCTCCCAGACCCATGCCTCTCAGTTGGTTGCAAGGTTGCTTCAATCCCAGTATGTGACAGGACTCAGCTCGAAATGAACTTAAGAGCACCCTGGCCAGCGCCACTGTGCTGGCTCTGCGTCCCTCAGAGGGAAGGCTTTCCTGCTGATTTTGTGGGACCCTCCTGAGTAAGTTCTTTGTTCTGCTCTGTGCACAGGGATGGAGTGTGCCAAGTGCTGGGAATCGGTACAGGCAAGTGCAATTCCCTTTTGCTGCTCGGTTGGCAAGACTCATGTGAGACAGCAAGGGTAGAGGAAGGAACTTAATCCTGGCTGGAGAATAACTGTTTCAGCTAATTTAGGAACTTTATACAGTCTGATGTTCATCTAATAAGTTTTAGGCACTGTTGAAGTTTTCTAGCCGTTGCTGTTTTAATAAACTTTACACTGTTTTCAGAGTCATAGTTGAGAATAAACAGACCTTTTTCCCAGTGGCTGCCCTATTTGCTGTGCTTTGGGAAAGCTGAGGCTGGAGCGGGGCTGGGCCGAGACCTGGTGTGCAGGGGGTTGGAATGGTTTTTGAGACACGGTCAGCGCTGACTCCAGGGTAGAATGTGCCTGGCTTTTTGTAAGTGAGACCCATTCAGCATAACCCCAGGCAGCATTTCATATATGGGGACACAGGTTCAAGGTGGTGTTTTAAAGCAGACATCTCTCTCTTGTGAGTAACTGTCTCCAAGTGTCCTTGCTTTCTACTCAAATTTTAGGTCAATTCCTCAGTGGTCTTCATGAACATCTGGATGTTTCCTGAGTATATCATTCATTCTAACTATTGAGCAGCTATTCTGTAGCAGACATAATCAGGGACATAGCAATGAATAAAACAAGTGATCAAGCAAAAATCCCTGCCTTTGGGGAACTTACAATTACTGGAAGGAGGCAGACAGTAAATATATACACGTGTAAATACAGTATTTGGAATGTGAGCTGGAAGAATACAAAGTGGGGTGCCTGGGATAGAGCATATTAGATGGGAGAAGATGCAGTGTTATGAAGGGTGGTTAGGGAAGGCCTTGCTGAGGAGATAACATCTGAGCAGAGACTCCGAAGAGGTGTGGAGTAAACCACAGAGTTAGGGAACGTGATGGAAGTGGATCGCTTACAATTTGTACTTTTAGAGTTGAATCAGAATGTCTGAGTTGGTGGGGTTTGGGTGGTCCCTTTGCCCCTTCCCGTCTGTTCACCCTGGTTCTATCTGTCCCTCTCTAGAGTAGCCAGCATGCTGCGCTTCCTGGTGCCCCGTCTGCTCTGCCTCCGAGGCAGGACTGCCCAGTACTCCTCGGCTGCAGCGCTCCCCAACCCCATCCGGAACCCAGACATCCGCTACAGCCAGCTCTTCATCAACAATGAGTGGCATGATGCAGTCAGCAAGAAGACCTTTCCCACGGTCAACCCTACCACAGGAGAGGTCATCGGGCATGTGGCTGAAGGGGACCGGGCTGATGTGGATCTGGCTGTGAAAGCAGCCCGGGAGGCCTTCCGTCTGGGGTCACCATGGCGCCGTATGGATGCCTCAGAGCGAGGCCGGCTCTTGAACCGGCTGGCTGACCTGGTGGAGCGAGATCGTGTCTACTTGGCCTCACTGGAGACGTTGGACAATGGGAAGCCCTTCCAAGAGTCTTATGCCTTGGACCTGGATGAGGTTATCAAGGTGTACCGCTACTTTGCGGGCTGGGCTGACAAGTGGCATGGCAAGACCATCCCCATGGATGGGGAGCATTTCTGCTTCACCCGCCACGAGCCTGTGGGTGTCTGTGGCCAGATAATCCCATGGAACTTCCCCTTGGTGATGCAGGGCTGGAAGCTCGCCCCAGCACTTGCCACAGGCAACACTGTGGTTATGAAGGTCGCTGAGCAGACCCCTCTTTCTGCCTTGTACTTGGCCTCCCTTGTCAAAGAGGCTGGCTTTCCCCCTGGAGTGGTGAATGTCATCACAGGCTATGGCCCCACAGCAGGAGCAGCTATTGCCCAGCACATGGATATTGATAAAGTTGCCTTCACCGGCTCCACTGAGGTGGGCCACCTGGTCCAGAAAGCAGCAGGTGATTCCAATCTGAAGAGAGTCACCCTGGAGCTGGGTGGGAAGAGCCCCAGCATCGTCCTGGCCGACGCAGACATGGATCACGCTGTGGACCAGTGTCATGAAGCCCTCTTCTTCAACATGGGCCAGTGCTGCTGTGCCGGTTCGCAGACCTTCATTGAAGAATCTATCTATGATGAATTTCTCGAGAGAACCGTGGAGAAAGCCAAGCAGAGGAAAGTTGGAAACCCTTTTGAGCTGGATACCCAACAGGGTCCCCAGGTGGACAAGGAGCAGTTTGACCGAATCCTGGGCTACATCAGCCTTGGCCAGAAGGAGGGGGCAAAGCTTCTTTGTGGAGGAGAGCGTTTTGGGAGGCAAGGTTTCTTCATCCAGCCAACAGTCTTTGGTGGGGTGCAGGATGACATGAGGATTGCTCAGGAGGAGATCTTTGGGCCCGTTCAGCCTCTGTTCAAGTTCAAGAAGATTGAGGAGGTGATTGAGAGGGCCAACAACACCAGGTACGGGCTGGCTGCTGCTGTGTTCACGCGGGACCTGGACAAGGCCATGTACTTCACCCAGGCTCTCCAAGCGGGGACTGTGTGGGTGAACACCTATAACATTGTGACCTGCCACACACCATTCGGGGGCTTTAAAGAATCTGGCAATGGGAGGGAGTTGGGGGAGGATGGGCTTCGAGCCTATACGGAGGTGAAGACAGTCACCATCAAGGTTCCTCAGAAAAACTCGTGAGAACAGCCCCATGGAGGCCCAGCCCCAGTCCAGCCGTTTCACACCCAGCTGGAGCCGTGGTTACCAAATGAGTTTTAGGCATGGAGCCCCTTTATTTGTTCTGAATAGAAGAGAACCCCAACAAATCACACAGTTAAGCTAGAGATATTCTGTTTGAAACAGGCAGGGAGACTGGGCTCACAGTCCTACCCAACTGCTCCTCAGCCCCTATCCCTTGGGGCACTTCATTTACTTCTATGAAACCTTAGGAATCTCTGGAAGACCAAATAAAAACCACTGACTAGATGGACAGTCACCTTTAGTCCTTCCTGCAGATCCAGGGACTTTCTAGCAGATTAATTCAGTGGCTTTGTGGATGGACTCAACTCAGACACAGCATTGAAAGGTATGAGGATTTCTGAACTAAGTGGACATCAAATCTAGGTCCTCTTCATCAACTTAACTGGATAACTGAGGCTGCTTTTTTTTTTTTTTTCTAGGTACCAATTGTTGGCTGTTTTGTTTGCTTGTCCTTCACTTGCTACTGATTTTTCTTAATTTGAAGGAAAAGGTAGGCAAAGAATGCAATTACATAATCATACCTTCAAAATAAACTCAAACACCCCAAACGTCTGTCAGGTGTTGAGTGGATAAACAAAATGTTTGCATGGGATATTCCTTCAACTACTAACCACAGAAAGAATGAAGTACTTCTTTTAAGAACATCATGCTATGTGAAGGAAACCACACATACAAGGCCACATACTGTGTGTTTGCATTTATATGAAATGTCCAGACTAGGCAAATCTATAGAGATAGAAAGTACCTTAGTGATTGATGGGGGCTGGGGAAGGAGTGAATGGGGAGTAACTAACTGCTCGTGAGTATGGAATTTTTTAGAGGGAGATTTTGAAAATATTCTGGAATTGGACCGAAGCGATGATTGTACTACTTTGCAAATGTATTAAAAAGTGGCAAATTATACCTTAATTGTGGTGTGTGAATTAATTTTATTTAAAAGTTAAAACTGATACCTTCTGTTTGCAAATCCATTTTGTCTCAATATTTTCTTGCTACTGAACTTTCTGAGTCTGGGGGCTAGGTAGGGACCCACGTAATCATCCAGTTAGCCCCAGCCGGGTACAAAAGTCCCTGGCATAACGTTTCTATTCTTGTTTTCATTTTCTCTTGGCTGATGACAAAGTGCAGACTTTGTCATAGAGAAAAGCTCTGGTTCCCACCCAGAGCAAGGCCATCTCATTTCTAGGCTTCCACTAACATTTTTGCAGCAACCTCCATGATACCACAGCACCTCTCAAGACAAGCCCAGCATCAGGGCCATCCTGACGTGTTGGGGGTTCCTAAGTTGCAAACCTCAGTGTTCACTATCGTTATTGTTAATCTTGCTGCTTTCATTTCCACATGTGATGAAAGTCAAGCTAGCCAGCCAGGCAAGGTCAGAAGCAGAATGTTGAACCTGTCTCTTTCTCTTCCATCTTTCTAAACCATGTTGCCTTCAAATCACCCTGTGGTTAAGTCCATTTGTTTTACGGAGTACACACCCCTGTCATCACTTGAATATCCTCGCATCAAGATGATTTTGTTCTCTATCTTAGGTTTGACCTGAAACTTTCTCAAGGGTTTAGGATGTACTTGGTTCCCTCATCTCTCTTCCTTAGGTCACCTCCCATGCCACTTGTCTAAGGCTGAGGTAACGCAGACTCTTCTGAAGCACAACTTCCGTCTCTGTCTCTTGCAGGCTGTGAGCAGCTCTGCTGCACAGTGGCGGAGGTTCCTATGGACAGACAGGCTTGGGATGTGGGAGTGAGGGGATAGGTGAGCATCTGTAATGCTAATATCGCCACCACAATGTGTTAACCAGGCCTTTCCTTGTCTGATTCCTAATACTTCTAAACCAGACAGCAACTTTGTAGAGGGTGTCCACCTAGGGGGTGCTGCTTTGGGAAAGGACAATCTTTAGGGTCCCTTATCTTGAGCCTTGAAATTCTGAGACTGAAGACTCAGATAAATGAGATTCATAATCAGTTCAGCCCTTGAGACCCCTCTCCATTCACTTTACTCTGCACGCAAACAGAGTAAAACTCAAACTACTACAATTTGCTCTGAAAGCAAACCCATGAGCGAGGAGGTTTCACTAGATGTCACGGTTTAGTCCAGGCATGGCTGGCAACACTGGGGGAAGTACCATAGCTGCTGCAGTTCTGGGCCATTCATCTGACTGAAAATCTTTCCCTATGCTCTCCAATGTGCCATGCCAGGTACCTTTGCACACCACTGAAGCCTTATAACACTACTGAACACAAGAGTGGAGTTACCCATTTTTTCCCTCTCCAGATGAAGATTTGGAAGCTAAGAGGTTTAGGAAGCAGCCTGTTTGGGGTCAGGCTCCAGGAGCGTGAAGCAGAGGCCCGAGAGAGGGATGTACTGAGGAGCATGAAAAGTTGAAAGAACCGAAGAACCCACAGCGACACCAAGTGAGCCGAACATATCCTGCTTCTTGCTGGACCCAGCAGGACTGCACCCCAATCTTGCTCCTTCTCTCAATCAGATCTGAGGCCACTTAGGAACTTGAATTTGTATTGGCTCCATTGTGGGTGTGAGGCTGACCTCTAGTGGTTGCCCTTTTAACTAATTTGCTTAGATCATTCATGGGGGGGGGTCTACTCTAGGCTAATTGTTGAGAGAAAGAGAAATGAATAAGGAAGGTTGATCTGTGGGAGCTCACAATCTCCCATGAGAAGTGATTGCAGAACAGGGTAAAAGCGCAATGACAAATAGAAGTACAGAGGTCACAGGGTAATGAGATAAAAGAATGTTTATTAAACATCCACAATGTGTCATTCAATGTTTTTGACTGCCCCAAGGCAGTTACTTGACAATACTTACCACGTATTATCATTCTACACTTGATGAGCGTTGAGCCCTGGAGTTGCTCACCTGGTAACTGGAGCCTGGACTCCCACAGAGGGTCCTCTGGCCCTCTACTCCAGGCTGCTGCCTTCCAGGACACCCAGATAGCCTTGGAGCAAGGCTTGCAGGAGTGGGACATCCCGTTGGACAGAAGATGACTAGGCGGAGAGGTAAGGGTAGAGAGGGCACACAGGAGTAGAAGATGGCAATCTGTTCCCTAGGGAGAGGCAGGTCGGGAGGTAGGCAGGGGCTGCGCTGCAAAGGGGCTGAGGCACCTGCCAGGAAGTCTTGCAGTGTAGTGTTATGGTCTAGCTCTGGAATGTCCTCCACAGCCTCACATATGTCCCCCTCCCAGCGCCTCCCTTTGCTCTCTGCTTCCTCTCCACCATGACATGATAGCTTTCTTCCGCCCAAGCTCTTCCATGCTGCTGCAGTGTTTGAGCTGTGCATGGACTGAAACTGTAAGCCAGATAAACCTCTCTTCCTTAAAGTGCAGGCTTTGAGTATTGTGTCTCTGCAGCAAGGAAGCAACTAAGACAGGAAGCCTCTGAGGGTGTTGAAGGAAAGGGGTAGAGTCATCCTCAGTTTCTAAAGGTGGCTCTGCTTCCACCTGGAGGGACGGTTGAGGGGGTCAACTTGGAGCTGACACTGCTGCCCATGTCCACCATGGTGCTGGCCGAAGAGGGCTGGGGAGTGGTGGGAGATTCTGGAAAGCCAGGAGGTGGGCATCGGGGGTGGTGACAGATTGACAAAAGAGGACAGCGGAAGTTGAGATACCTCACATTTCTGGCTGGGGCAGCCGTGTGGTGTGTGTGCATGTGGGGTGCCAGAGCAAGGGTACCTTCTGGAAGAGCTACTTTAGGGACAGGGTGGTGAGTTTGTTTATTCAGCACACAGGTTGACTATGTACCAGGAATTATTCTGGGTTAAACAAAAATCCTGCACTCTTAACTGATGGAGTAGGTAGACCATAAGCCGAATGTGTGACATACAGCTGTCCTTCCGTATAAACAGGAGATTGGTTCCAGGACCCAGTGGATAGCTAAACCCTCAGGTGCTCAAGTCCCTTGTATGAAATGATGTAGTATTTCTCATAACCTTGCGCATCTTCCCATATAGTTAAATCATCTCCAGATTACTTATAATGCCTACTATGATATAAATGCTATGTAAATCATTGTTACATGGTACTGTTTCGTGAATAAAGACAAGAAAAAGGTCTGTGCATGTTTAGTGCAGTTGCCATTTTTTCTCTAAAATTTCCGATCCATGGTTGGCTGAATGACCTTCAGACATAGAGGCCGACTGCACTGAGTCAGATAGTCAAGGGTGTAATGCAGAAAAGCCTGCTGGGAAGGGGAATAGGAAATGTCAGGGGAATGGGGCAGGGGCTGTGATTTTCAATCAAGAGATCAGTGACCGTCTCACTGAAGATGTGCCAAAGCTGTAGTATCCCTGGGAGCACAAGGGACATAGGAAGCCAGGTTGCTGGGGGAGCAAGCAAGGGGCAGAGACAAAGCCAGGGCAGCAGCAGGACACACAGTTAGTTTGAAGGCCACTGTGCAGATGGATTGGGACTTTACTGTGAGTGAGGGAGGAGCCACTGCAGAGTTCTGAGCAGAGTTGCAACATGACCTGATGCACTTTGAAAGGATTGCTGGGGCTGGCGTGTTGAGAATGGGTTGTAGGGAGAGCAAGGAGAGCCCGACCTTGAGAATGCCCACATCGAGGGGCGAGTTCCATAAGGGGCCTGAGGCAGAAGCTGTCTCAGGAACAGGAGCAGGACCTGGGGGAATCATGGAAGGTGGACTTCCCCAGGGAAGGAAATCACATGCTCCCAAGAGATCAAGTACAGGGCACGCTGAGGAGTGTCCCTTGACACGGCAGTCTGTGTGCAGTGGGACAGGAGTCAGGCTGCTGTGGGTTGAGAGCACTACACATCCCCCCAAGCCACAGTGGTCTGTACGCTAGTGCTAGGGTGAGGAAGACCAACTGGGTGTTAGGGTAGGAGGCCTTTGAGAGCCTCTCGCATCCTCACTCAGTCCCCCGAGACAGTCAGAGTAATTGTCCAAGGTCACAAGCTGAGGAAGGCCAGAGCGTGGCCTGAATTAGACCTCTCAGCTCCCAGGCAAGCATTCTCCCCATGCGCATTAATGTAATGTTAGCTGCTGTAAGTGAGCCCTTAAATCTAAGGGGCTTAAAACAACAATGGCTTGTTCATTGCTTATGTAATAATCTCATGCAGAAACCTGGCCACCTGGCAGTTCTCTCCCACAAGGAGATTCAGGGACAGTTTCCTTCCATCCATCTACAGTAGTTCTTAGTATATGTTACATGTTTCTCTGAGAAGCTAATGAAAGAGGTAGACTTTTTCACCATACTAAAATACACACATGCACCCTCACATGAAACTTGACATCCTTTCAAGGGGTTCATAGCACCCACGAATTCAAGAGATCCATGGGTCTGCACCCACCTGGGGTCTCAGAGACCATGTGTCAGTTGCGTGATGGGGAGGGGAGGACAGAAAAGGCACACTGACCTCTTACAACACCCTGGCCTCCCAGTGGAGCCCAGCACCTCTATTTACATTTCACTGGCATCCCCCCAATATTTTCAGAGCGAAGGAAAGCTGGACTTGTGGGTGTTATGGGACATCACAACACCGTGGAGGGGCCCGGGTGGCCAGTGGCCAGTGTGCTGCCACCTCTGCCAGTCTCGCCCCACTGCAGGCAGGTGTGTGTGATGGTGAAGGCTTCTCACGAGGATGTGCGTGCGGTCCAGTCCCTTGCCGTCCAGCCTTGCTCATGCTGCTTCTCTCTCCTTACTCCCATCATCTACAGAGTGAGTCCACTCGCTTAGGGCCCTATCGAGGGCCCACCTTCTTCAAGACCTTTGATCTTCTCAATCCACCCCTACCCCTAGAAATCACAGCATCCTCTTTTCACTTGGTTTTATCCGATGGCAGCTCTGCTAATTGAGAAGTCATAAAATGGGTCTAACTTTTTGGTCCCATTTGACAAGCTGTCACATACTTCTGTTTTCTCTCCTTGCCCTCTGCCATCCGCTGCAGAGCGGACAGTGTGTGGTTTTTCACTCAGAGCACAGCAGGTCGGGGCAGTGAGGTTGACCTTCGGGGCCAATGAGGAAACAGAGCCTCAGAGTTAAGGGAAGTGACCCAGACCCATGGACTGTGACAGCACTTGCCCTTGGCTGCATGTCCTCCAGCGCCGAAGCTACTGTCCATTATACCCAAGTGCCCACTGCATGCCCTTTCAGCAGCACAGAGACCGTCCACATGTGGCACCACAAGCAGCTCGGTGTGCCAGAGCTAAGACTGAGCTATGCGATGCCTGTGCGCAGTGGGTGCTCTGCAAATTTGTGGGACAGATCGGCTCATGCACACAGAAGAGGCCTCTGTCACCCTCCATCCCCAGCACTGCAGTGACAGAGGCACAGGTGACTCTATGGCCTTGCACCAGGCATTCTGCAGTCCTGGAGGCCATTGAAGCTGAGCTCCAAGGCAGCCCTGACCATAAGGGAGCTCACACTCCAGGAGAGGCTGAGCCAGTGTGAAGTATCACACCCGATTATGCTGGGTGACAGGTTCCAAGTTCTCAATTCATTAAGCTGCAGACACCAGAGTGCTGTGGTTTCTTAATTAATTAAAATATCACATGATAACCATTCTCTGATTTAACAATCAAGAGCCATGGCAAGGCTGGGAATGAGGAAATTCATTAGAGGAGACTGTTCACCACCGATTGATTCTCTTGTTCTTATTCATCCCCCGCCCACATCATCCATCCCTGGGGGAGTGAGGAACGCAATGTTTTTGTAAAGACATAGGAATTAGTTCCACCATAAAACCTGAAGGAAAAAAATCCACCTTGACTAAAACTCAGGCCTCTTTTGGTTTAAGGGAAAAGCTGGATACGTGAACACTGACTTTAGAATTACTGCGGTCCATTATCACTAGGGGGCATGTTCCACAACTCATGGTACCAAACCCTATACATATTATGTTTTTTTCCTATACCCACATATGAAAAACTCTAATTTATAAATCAAGCACAGTAAGAATTAACAATAACAAATAATAAAATAAAATGGCTATAATATACTGTAATAAAAGTTATATGAAGGTTCTCTCTCAAAATTCCTTATTGGGCAACCATCCAGCCCAGCTTCAAGAAGGTCCTTGACACGCTGTGGCCTGCTGGCACCACATATATGCCCTCCCCACCTGGCATCTTGTACCTCTCTGCTACCTGCTATTCAATGTGTGCTTTAGAGATGACAGTATGCATCAGAGAGTGCCTGAAATACTAGAATGCTTGTATACTGGGACAGCACATTCAGGGAGACTCAGAAGGATCAGGCTGGCAGTAGTATAAAATGATTAGGGCTGGTTAAAAGCTGCAAGTAAGCCAGTTACTTTGGAGGCTGAGGCAGGATTGCAAGTTCCAGCCAGGGCAACTTAATGAGATTCTGTCTCAAAGTAAAAGTAAAAAGGGTTAAGGATGTATCTCAATGATAGAGCCCTTACCTACCATGTGCAAGGCATGTTCAATTCCTAGTACTGCAGAATGGTGGGGTAGGGACCAGGTGGAGAGGTAACCCCAGCTCAGGTGTGAAAGGGAGGGGAGGTTTGACTAAAGTAGCTGACATCAACAGAGAAAGGGCAGGATGTATGAGGGATGATAAAGAAGAATGAATAGGACCTGGGCCACTTACAGCAGCATTCCCGAGACAAGAGACAACACAGACCATCCTTAAAAACATTTATTTTTAGGGTGTAGGGGGTGTGACACCACAGCATCTATGAAAATAGGGTAGAAAAAACACAGGCTTGGGGGCGGGGGTGGATCATGCTTTTGAATGATACCAGCAGTTCAGTGCATGTTCTTGGTCTTCAAAGAGGCTTTAGAACTCTCAATTCAGAAAACTATTAGTTTAAACAGTCATGTTAATGCACCTTATTGCCACTGATGATGAGGCAGATTTGATATGATTCAACCGATTTCACAGAATGTGCTCATTATCAGATGTGGTTCTACAACCTTCTCCAGAGCCACGGTACCCCCATTCCTTCTGACATAAGTGAAGCGTCTAAGTCATCTCCAAGCCATTCAAGTTACAGGGCAACTAAAGGCCGACTCTCAGATGTGGAAATAATTACATGGGAGGAGATGAGAACAGCAGGAGGTCCTGAATGAAGAGGGGATATGAGCAAGCCCCCCAATCCCCAGTACCCAAGAGCAGCCCCAACTACCAAGAGCCAAGGATGGCTTCCAATTTGATCAATTTCAATTCTCATTTTACTCGAAGAAGGGACTCCAATATTGTAAAGTTTGAAAATCATTCATTTGGTTTCATTCCCTTCCTATTCAGATAAGGGTGTAGAGGCCCAGGGAGTGAAAGGCCCGCCTACAGTCGCACAGCAAGCCATGAGAACTGCACAGACCTCGTGTTTTCAGATTCCCAGGTTGGTCTCATTCTGCTGTGGAATACACCAGGCGCACACCATCTCAATATTTTGGACAGTGAATGGCCACATTTAAAGACAAAAAAGTTCACTTCTAACAAGTGCGCTAGACCGTAATGGCGAACTTGAGAGGCACGAGAGTGTTCTTTAGAGGTCGAACTGGGCCAGGTGGGTGGCACCATCCTTCCCTGCTTTTAAGGTCACCCTGGGAAGAACACCATGAGTGGAAAGTAGCTAGGGTCTCTGCTCAGAGGCCTCCAGACTTGGACAAGAAGTTTCCCTCCCAGAGTCTAGTTTCTTCATATAACAGGGTCAGGACAATAATTCCTGTGCTGCCCACCTTGCTGGGCTGGGCTCCTGGGTGGGACAGTGCTTTGTCCACTTTAAGGGCTAATGTGAAGAAATTCTAATTACCAGAGATCCACCAGACAGTAAATATTCTCCTTTTTTCTGCTAAAAAGGGAGAAAGCCTTATTCTTGGATGAGGTCAAAATGTCTGTAAGCAGAACACATTGTACTATATTGTGATTCAATGGCCCAGAGGTAATACCTAACCCCTCCCAATCCCCTTCCACACTGTGATGTCCAGAAGTCAGATCTCACTGCCCAACTACGTAGAGTGCTGTGATAACAGTAGATGGTGTGGTTCTCAAACACCCACCTATCTAGGACTAAATCTTAAGTTGGGGAAAAGGCGGGAATAGAGGAGCCACACCAGCTGTCCACACCCTGGTATGAGATGAAAATTTGTTTTTGAGGGCACACCATTTTTAAGAAGAATGCTAAGACCAGACTTCCTATATTTTTTGTAAAGGGCTTTCTTACTCTAGCGTGGCAGGGCTAGACGGGACTCTGGTGACATCAGTTCAAATGCTACAATCACAGGTGAATGACCAAGACCCAGCAAGGGGAAGAGACTTATGAGGTCACACAGCAAGCAAAAACCAGGCTGAGGAGTGCTGAGACCTTCCTCCCTCCTTCTACAACACAAACTAAGTCACACAGCACCCACTAATCAGTCATAGGTAGGAGTCACAGTTGTCACATGCCTTGTTTTGAGCCCTTTAGAATTAGAAACATACCATTACATGATCTCCCTAGGAGGGAGTAGTTAAAAAAGAATTCACAAGGAACAATCATTCCAAGAGTATAAAAAAGCTACATGCACATCTGTTTTCCCAGTGTTTGTTCTGCTAAAAACTACATCTGCGTAGGAATCTAGTTTGCATCCAATTTTTAAAAACATACAAAAGAGATCATCTACAAACACAGTTTTCCCAAGTCTTCACAAAGCAAAAAGATCCAGTATTTGACTTCTCCATTATCCTGTGATCAACCTCTCCAAGACCCTGGGAAGAAAAGAGGGAAAAATTAGAAAAAAAGGAACCTTCTCTGTCACAATATGCTATGTGTTAAACGGGAGGTGCTCCCTAAATTCAAATATTTCTTTGCAAGAAATGGTGCCAGGGAAGAGTGGAGGTGTCCTTCAGGGGCCCAGGAAAAACACGTAAGATCAGTAGATGGAGATTTCAGAGCACACACTACAGCTCAATATGAGGAAGAACTTTTCAACTCTTGGAAAATGCCAAGGTGGTTGTCTGAAGGCGGCAAGCTCTGTATTTCTGGAGGCACACAAGCAAGAGCTGACCAACACTGCGTGTTTTACAAGGAACTCAACACCTGAATATATAAAATATAGGTAAAATTTACATAAAATAATACATATAATAACATTACATATTTACATAAAACAAAAAAATCAGGTATCAGGAAGACAACTTTATAACCTGACTTCCTAACTCTTTCCTGAATTCTATTTTATAGTTTTATATGTTCACATTTTTCCCCATTTCTATGACCTCTGAATTTGCCTTTCAGCTCCAAGCCACCTTTTCAGTAACGTCTGCCTTCCTTTTCCCCAGTTCTAGGAGCTTCTCCTGCCTCAAACCGACACACCTCCTTCATTCCCCTAATGCTGCGGTCCTTGTATCTTCACCATATTCACTTTGTGTTTTTCTGTGTGTCCCCTGCAGACTTGAAGAGAGGCCTTGCACACAGAAAGTGTAACAAGATTTTATTTGATTAGAAGTATAGAAAATCCTTCTGCTTTTAATAAATTCCTGTTTCTAACTTTTCCTGCTCTATTAAAAATCTGTTGGTCAGCCTTGGTGATGGTACCTGGTCATGCCTGCTCCTCCCAGGATGTACGAAGATCCTGCATCCCTTCATCTCCAGTGAGAGGAGCGCACACTCCCTGGATCCATCCATCCCAACATGGCCTGTGACCTGCATTGGCCAAGGAACTGCAGGCAGATGCGACAGTGACGTACATTTGCTATAGTTTAATGATGATGTACATCTGAGTTGGACTTTAAATGAGACTGTATACTTGGCTCGGCCTCTTACTCATTCCTTCTGCCTAAAGAATGGATGGATTCCACACTGGGGTTGCTCCTCCGGCTGGGTCTCAAATGAGACGTGGAGCAGAGCCACAGCCAGCCCGTGGCAGTGACATGGAACGTGAGCAAGAGATAGATGCTTGTGGCTTAGAACCAGCAACCCTGGGGGTTGCTACACAGCAAAAGCTGGTTGAGAAAGTGATTCATTTCCCAAGCTCACAGTCACCTGCAGACAGGGCACAGATGCAGCTCCTGTGTCACCTGTGTGACTAAGAGAACGAACGGCTGTTTGGATCTCTGCATCCTGACGCCTCAGCCCCAAGACGTGTGGCCAGGCAGCACACAGGGCAGTGAGCAGCAAGGTGGGGCGAGAGCCGTCCCGGGAGAAGACACACGAAGCACAGCAGTCTTCTCTGCAGGAAGCTTTCCACGTGGATGCTGTCACTGTCCGCCACCGCTTGGGGCTAGAGGAAGTATTCTTCCAGCCTCAAAACCAGAAAGCACTACCAGCTTTTTCATCCTACGGATGCCCATGTCCCCAGCTCTTGACTGTGCGAGTTGGGGAGGCCAGAGAAACAAACGTGCAGAGCACAGCAGAGGTTCCCCCTGCTCACCTTCACACAGCCCAGCTCGCCCCTGCTTTCCCTCTGCTTTCTGCACTTGCATATCTCCCTTCTGTGTTATTGCCTTTCTAGTCAGCCGCCTCAAAACTCATGGGACACAGGGATAGGAATAACAAAGTGGCTCAGAACATATACCTTCATCCATCACAGGTGGTCAGCTGGAGCTGGGGAGCGGAGGCCTTTGTATCTGCTCAGATCTAGGACCATCACAGTGCCGTGCGATAGGGCTTCCCCAACCGCGTTGGCCGCGTGGCACTGGTACACGCCCTCATCTTCCTTTCTCAGGGGACTGATCTAGGCACACAGCAGGCACATTTACAGTTATATGCAGTACAAAAAATGACCTTCTTATTTAGTTTTCAGTGCTACATTTGATCACTGGATCCTTTTCAGAATAAGACCAACTCCTATTCGTCTTCTTGCTGTGAATGCCAAGCAGCGTACAATGAAACGTCCTTCTGGGATGGGGGGCTCTCAAAGGGCATGTTCCTTACTGTGGCTTTCACTTTAACAATTCCTCTGCATTCCTGCCTTTGACTCTAGCTGCCTGGCCCTTTTATTGTAGAGGACAGGATACATTATGAGGAAAATAACTGAAAATTAAAAAAACAAAACTCTCCTGGCTACAGCAGACCCATAAGGTGTTCCTTATGGGGGTAGCCCTTACAAAAACCATCAGAGTATTTACCACTTCTCAGGTTTTCTTGTAAAAAACGAGCGAATGTGCTTGATTTGAAAAGGACATGGGCCCAACTGCATTCCAAGTCCTTCAGCTGGGTAGAGAATCATCACTAAACCTCCCAGAGCTGTGGAGAAGCTGAGGAAGACATTCCCGGGGAGCCTTCTAGTCTCACTTTTCCAAACACTTGCCATTCTTTTTTTTTTTTTTCAGCAAAAATGCTATGAATGGCATAACAGCCCTGGAGGGGCTTGAGTGTGCCGTGTCCCTCTTTATCAGCTATGTGGTCTTAGGCAGCTTAGTGTGGTTTTAGGTGGCTACTGTAACAAACCCTTTCAAACTCAGTGGCTTAAAACACAAACTTATCATCCTTTGTTCTAGAGGCCAGAAGCCCAAAATGGGCCTCAGGAGATTAAAATCAGGGTGCAGCAGCATTCCTATGGCTCTAGGGTATAGCCTCTTGCCTGACCTGGTCCAGTTTCTAGTTGTGTTAGTTAATACTGATTGTCGGCCAGGTGTGGTAGGGACTATACATGGTCCCTGGCCCCCACCACACTGGTGTCCATTCCCTGTGCTCTGCTTCCTGGCCACCATATCCTCCTGTCGTGCCCTCCTGTCATGATGTTTCTGCACTGGAGCCAGCTGATCATGAAACTCTGGAAACTATGAACCAAAATAATCCTCTGCTCCTGGAATCTGGAAGTGTCAGGTATTTTATCCAGCATGGAAAGCTGACTAATACACCAGTGCTCCTTGGCTCACGGCCCCTTCCTCCAGCTCCAGCACCAGCAATGGTGGGTAGAGGCCTTTTCACATCGCCCTACCTGACTCTCTGCCTCCCTCTTCCTCATTTACACTCACCCTTAAATTGGGCCCACCTGGGTACACCAGGTTACTTTCTCTACCTTAAAGTCAGCTCTTTAGCAACCTTACTCTCTCCTGCCACATGACATAACCCACTGACAGGTTCTGAGCAGTGGGACATGGATGTCTTGTGAGGGCCTCTGCAGCAGATCCCTGTGCTCGCAGGGGCTACACAGCCTGCCAGACACTGGAAGGCCTGTGAGATGAACAGGCAGAGCCTTGAGAACTCTCACATGTCACAGAAGGACAAAAGAGGTTCATAAAATCAGCCAGTAATATCAGATAACCTGAAAAACTCACCAAAATCCAGGCTGTGGCCTCGTGGTCGGAAGGGCCCCCTCGCACCTGGACGACTATATTGACATGGTCCCCGGGTAACTCCTCCAGGACCTCGATGCCCTCAGGAGAGTGTGCGATCTACAGCAGAGAAACCATGAGCCACCTTGCACAGGCATTTCTAACCCCCTGCCACCCACTCTTCCCAGGGACTCAAATGCTGAAACTCTCACACCTCTCCTTTATATTCAAATAACATCAGATGCCTTAGAAACCTAAATGTGTGTTCAAGCAGCACCCCCTGCTGGACGGCAACGATGCTAACATCGCCACCATTTGGCAGAAGCAGTGCAGAATTTCACGGCCCTTGTCGGGGCTGTTGAGCTATAGGGACAACAAATGTCATGATGGATCTTTAGGAAGATTTGCATTTGGGACAGGACTGAGTCTTCTGCTCTCAGCCAAGTCAGTCTACAACTCAGCTCCCCGTGAAGTAGGTGCTCAGGTCCAGCAGCTGAGGTAGGCTGGGCCAAGGCAGCAGACGGCATGGGCCAGACTGCACCTGTCCCTCTTCTGGGGTAAAAGTGTTGAGAGGCAGGAGTGCTATGTAAGGCTTCTTTTGTAATCTTCTGGCCCGCGTGTAAAGAGATGCACACAAACACACTGAAAGGAAAAATATTTACCACTCACATCTGTCTTCGGGTTTCTCTGTCTCTGTGTCAGTCTGTGCCTCGGCCAAGCGCTCACGCACGTGCACCCCCCCACACACACACACGAGTTCTGGGAGAGAAATACCTTCCTCCACGTGATGACTGGGGTGGGCACCGCCCTCACCTCACAGGACAGGTAAACCTGCGCCCCGGTGACATTGTGAACACTTCGGGGTGGCAACACGACCACAGGAGCTGCAAGAAGACAAGGGCACATGGGCTTTATACTGGTCCCAAGCTGCCGGCCAACACTGCCCTGGCTGCTGAGGGCCTCGCGGACCCCTGCCCTGAGGGGTGCAGCGGCTCCTCAGCACAGGGGAGATTTTCCTGTGCAAGGGACTGAGGAGGGAGGTTTCTTCAAACCTGAAAGGAAGCCTCTCGGTTTCCTGACCCACTGCCATAGTTTTACAACCAGAAAAAGGCTCCTGAGAAGCAAGGCCACTTCCCAAGGTCGGTGGCAGAGCTCTGGTCTCACACACCCCCTCCGTAGGCACCTCCTGGACCCAGCTGCCATCTGCGTGCAGTTCAGCAACAGGACTCTGGTGGCCTGCTAGAGGGCCATTTTCATGCCGCCAACAACAAAGACTTCAAATACAAGGGTTTTTCTGCTTCTGTGTGCTGAGTGTTTCAAAGGAGGGCACCACACAGACTGCTGTCTGCACCCTGCGGCGAAGCCCCTTGGTACATCCTGGACACAATGGTCTGCATGTGCAGATGCAAGGCCGCACTCCACTCCATTCCCAAGCAGACCTGGGAACCTGTGAAGGGAGAGGGGGCTGAGCCTCTGTGACTCCACAATGGGGCAAGTGCAGCTCTAGATAGCAGGCACTGTAGGAAGCAGAGAGGGAACACAGCTCTCTAGAGAGGACCCAGGAGCCTGTGGGTGTGAGTCAGAAACTCAACTCACAGCAAGGGTATGGTGGTGCACTTGTAACCCCAGCGATCTGGGAGGCTGCAGCCAGGCAGCAGGGTCGAGCCGAGCGTGGTAGCTTGGTGACTTAATAAGATTCTGTCTCAATATCTAAAAAATAAAAAGGCCTGGAGGTGTAGCTCAAGGTGAAGGCCCTGAGTTCAACTTTTCAGTATTGTAACAAAACAAAAACAAAAGCCCCAAAAATTCATACTCCACACTCTGCTTACCTTCCACACATGGCCTCTGCTCTGTTCATACCCGGCTGTGAAAGTCAAGTCCATGCTGCAGGCTAGCTAAGCAACCACTACTAGGACCAGGAAGCTTGTACCTCTTTGACCTGTACAGTCACGGTCAGCCTTGCAGTCCAAGTGTACCTACCTTATCTCGCCCGCGGTGGACAGTTCAGCCACCCTGGCATCCAAGGTGCAAGGTGGAGGCCTAGCCATGGAAGTGCTCTTGGCTCAGACCTCCTCACCTGTAAGCTGAGCTTCATACGCCTCCTCCCTAGGGCTGTGCAGGGGGCTCAACCACACACAGTGAGAAAGCAATGGCTTCACTACCTGATGTGCAAGTGGGGGCTGGATTGGGGAACAGGCTTAGCAACCAGATGGCAAGACAGAAAAAGACATGGTAAATAAGAGAACAAATGTGTTCTTTCAGGGCCATCATACTACAGGCTCGAGGACTCCTGGAGCTTTGCCTGGTGACTCAGGGACAAACGTGCTGCTCTTCTCAGGCCTATCCTGAGGGGAAGGGTTCCCCACTCCCCAGGGTAAGGCTGCAGTGACAAAAGGAGCCCAAAGGGAGGTAGACAAGGATAGGGGATGTGAGCAGGGGTGAGAGACAGGATTGACTCTCAGTCTAAGGCACAGGACTGGAAGGATGCAGAAAGATTAGTCTGGCCCCTACAGATAGTCTGGGAAGCAGATCTTGTCAAGCTGATATATATATATCCTCTGAGAAACTATCTTAAGCCACACAGTGGCTGGAGATAGATCCCAACTCCCCAGGATCCTCACATCTGGAGATAGACCCCAACTCCCCAGGATCTTCTGCTTGACTGTCTGTGACACATCCATCCAGATTTCACTTCTATACCTCCAGTGATGGAGAGCTCACTTCCTATAGAGCCAGGCCCTCCCATCTTTGGAGGACTCTGCTAGTAAGAAACCTTATCCTTATCTGGAGTGAAAAGCTGTCTCCATAACTGCCATCTGCCGATCCCAGGGCTGCTCTCTGGGGCCCATATCTCCGTGGGGGCCTTGGTTCTCCATGGAGTTGAACACAGGGCTTCCTCAACCTTCTGGGCTGCTTCTTCCAACACCTGCTCAGCCCACTGCTTCAGTCATTCCCACAGGGCAGCCCTGCAAAGGACTCTGCCAGCCCAAATCTAAAGCCCCCAAAGAACCAAGCTCGGAGACGCCTCACATTGCCCACTGCCGCAAAGAACCCCACACCCTGGCTCTGGCAGCAGCGCCATCTGCGATGACAAAGAGAGGCTAATTTATTCACATTCTCTCCAGCGCCTCCCAGCCACACAGGTGCTGTGATGTCGCCTCCACCACAGCCCAAACCAGCCTGCAAACTGCTCGCTGTGGGGACCATCAGAACCCTCTTCAGAGCCCTCGATGGGCTCCAAAGGGACCCTCCATCCCCGGTTTCACTTTCATTCATGTAGTCATAAATTTTAAATGAGATTTCATCACTCCCTTTCAGACCTAACTGAATAAACCAGGAAATCACATTTCCTCTTCCTAGATCCTGTTCCCCTCACCCTCTCTTTCAGTACCTGCAATTAAGGAGGAGTGCCTTGGAAATACCATCTTTGCCACTGATTTCACAGCAGGAAATACCATGTCTTTTACAAGAGACTCCTGCTTTCAATGTCAAAGGGACGCTTCACAATTTATTTATTTGTAAATCTGCACACAGTGCTACTCATCTTTTCTGGTGTGCAGTTCTAAGTTTTGACAAATGCTTACAGTCATGTAATGACCACTACAACCCAGACACAGAATACTTATCTCAAGAAATGTCCTCAGGGCACACTTTGTCATAATCACCTGCTTTTCACTTTAACACATACAGTTTTAAATTTAAAACATTTTTTTTGAAACAGCTCTTCAGAGTCAATTCATAATAGCAACAGTGATAACGTCACAGACTAACACAGTGCCTGCCGTGTGCCAAACCCTCTTCCGCTGACAAGGGTGGAGAAACACCTGTCTTTCCAGTAACCGTACCAGCTGTTCTGGGCGGAGCCTTGAAGGGCTGCCAGGCCCGGAATGCTGGGTCGAGGCCGTGAGCCTTGTATCCGTTTCTAGAGCCCCAGCTCTCCTACCTCACCCCAACACCACCTTGCTTTTCCCCAGAGTGCCCCTCCTTGTGCACTACCCCTCCATTCTCACATCAGCCCTCTGAGGCAGCTGGTTTTGTCCCCATTTTAGAGATGAGGACAGCAAAGCTCAGCAAGGTGAGGGGCCTGGAGAAGTGGAAACTCAGAGCCAGCTCCCAGGTTCCACGAACTTGCACACAACTTTTTCGAGTGAAACATTCACTGTCTGTGTGGACTCCATCCCAGAATAAGAGATTTGTTCTTAGGGATTGTGTCAGTGTTCCTCAAGACCATCCCCAGGTTCAAGATGAGCTGAAGGACTCACAGAACTCATGGTTATGATTTATGTCAGCACAAGACACAAAGCAAAGTCAGCCAAGGGAAAAGTCTGGTGAGGGACCAGGCACAAACTTCCTTTCCCAGTAGAGTCACACAGGGCACAGCCATGAAAAGAGACAGCACATGTGAAATGCCGTCCACTCGGAAGCTCATGAGGGCTCAGCGCCCAGGGTGGTGAGAGGGCCGGTCACACAGGTATCCACCATATACCACAATTCAGGGTCCTGGAAAGTAAGCAGGTATTTGGCGGTGCTATTTGGTCAGTGTCCTCTAAAGGTCCACATGTAAAGGGATTGGCCCTTAGGGTGGTACGACTAGGAGGCGGTGGGATCTTTAGGAGGCAGGGCCTAAATGGGAGATCTTTAGGTCATGAGGGGTGTGCTAACCGCTTCCTCCTTGTCTGCAGATAAACACAATGGCCACTGCCAGACATCCACCAGGGTGAAAGTGCCTGTGTTAACTGTGTGGGTTTGTACAGAGGAAAAGGATCAATATTATTATGATAGTGTTTGGTGATGTCTCCCTACCCTGCCATTTAAATGGGTCCTTAATAATTGGAATAGAGGATTACTGAATCCTAGTATTTCCTCTCCTCTTGCTGCCCTCTCTCCTTTCCCTTCTTTCCTCTCCTCTCCCATCCCCTCCCCTTTCCTTCCCTTCCCCTCTTCTGCTTCCTGAGTCAAAAAGTGAGCCATAAGGTGAGCCGCTCCTGCCACACTGTGCTGCCCTCACCACAAGCTTAGAGACAAACAGGGCTGCTGATCTTGGACTGGAACCTCCAGAATCACGAACCAAATCAAAACTTTTCTCTCTGTGAGTTAACAACCTCAGGTCTTTTGATACAATAACAAAAACCTGACAACCACAAACACAAGCTATACACAATGGCCACTGCTTCTTCTTCTTCTTCTTCTTCTTCTTCTTCTTCTTCTTTTTTGTGCCGGGAATCGAACTCAGGACCTTTGTGCTTACCAGGCAGGTGTTTATGCCGCTGAGCTATATCCTCAGCCCTTCTGGCACACAGCTTCTTACCTTACTGTTGCCAGAGCCACCACAATCCTGAAAGAACCAGGGTTTACCTTTCCACTTGCCTTTGACAAAAGCCTATGGCTCTAGAGGGAAGAGGGCTCCTGGTCAGCCCCATCTTTGAGGATGCCAGCTTCCCCTCTCCCGTCCAAGGGCTAACTGGCAGGTAACACATAATAGTTGCCAGGTGTGTGCGGTCACAGGCAGCAAAACCACAGGGTAGGCAAAGTAGTACTGAGGGAGACTCAAATGCCTGGGCTCCAGGTGCCAACCACTCAGCATGGGCAGCTGCTAACCACGTCCTCCTCCTTGTCTGTAGATAAAGAGAATGCCCTGCATCCTCGGGGTGAAGGGAGCTAAGTGATGTGCCTGTGTTAACTGTGGATCTGCACAGATGAAAGGGATCAATATTATTACGATCGTGTGTGGTGATCTGTCTCCTACTCTGCCAATTAAATGGGTCCTTAATAGCTGGAATGAAAGACCTCCACAAATGCCTCCGAGATTTCTTTAAAGTAAATGGTGCCAGGCAAAGAAAGAATATCAAAAGTCATCCCACAGGACCCCATCTGAAGCATACAACCAGAGTTTAATAATCAACGTACCGAGCAGCCCTGATAATTTATGCTAATAGTCACAATACCATGTGGAATGAGAAACAGCTTAATCCTGCTCTCTGCAGCCTGTGCTTCAAATCCCCTCCCTCAGCATGAAAGGCTTTTGAGCACGAGGCGCCTTCTTTGTCCCTTTGACAAAGTGGCATTTGCTGCCTCTTCTGGTTACCTGGTAACACACGCCTCGGGTTTCTAAGTAGAGCTGAAATTTCAACCAACGTGAATTTTCTAAGACTGGGGGTGTAGAGAGCTCACTGGGGCTGCTGGGGCTCAACATCCTGCAGAGAGCCAGGAAGACCCAGATTTGGGTCCCACCTCTGGTGTTTCTATTTTCCTTTCTATTAAATGGGAGTGGGACCTCCCTGGGGGTAGTAACAACCAAAGGAGATGAGGGCAAAGGAACACCCAACAGTAAGAATAATTCACAGGTAGGTCTTCAGTGAGTGTGTGTCACAGGATCACTGCCGCTGCCAGGCAGTTTGGGGTGTGTCAGAGCACAGCAGTAACATGCAGCACTTAAGTCCAAGTCCAAAAACCTTTGGCACTGTCCCTCAGGGGTCTAGGGCGTGTATAAATGCTCCTTCTTGCTGGGACAACCTCACCCCTGTGTGTGTAGCCTGCTTCCCCTAACATCCAGGTGCTGGGGTGCTCGAGAGGCTGGGCAGGAACTGAGGAGGGGTGATTTTACCACGGACATGCAAGCAGAACAGCCCTGCTCGGCTGTGTTCCTTCATCCGGGTCCCCAGGGGCATTGTTAGAATGTGCTCCGGCTGTGTCTTCTGAATTAAAGATGGCTTTAGGGCAGCACCGAATGAGGTGCCAAGTGGCTGGGAGACACCTTCCTGTCCACACCTCATGCTCTATCAGGATGGAAGGGCAGGGGTCACACAAGCAGAGGAAGACAGAAGGTGCCAGGGAAATGGTGCCAGTTCTGAGGTGGACGACACAAATGCTAGTGGGAAGGACAGCTGAGCTCAGTGCTCTGACGCTTGTCACTAATGAGGTCATGAAAAGCCGGCCTTGCGTGTCTCTTTATTCCTGGAGCCCGAGCCTGGGGTGGGCCTCAGGGCCCATAGATCAGAGTCGAGGGGGCTGTCACACTTACTTGTCATTTGGTAATTTTCAGTGAATTAGGGGTATGGGGTTTCCATCTGCCATCTGTCCTTACTCTGGTAACCATGGCAACCACCATCTGCCTGACTTAATACTATGAAGTCCTGTCCTGAAAGAGCACTGACAGGGTGTTGGGACCTGGGAGCTGGCCAACCTTCACTGGACAGCCTGGATAAGTCCCTGTCCTTGCTAGGGCTCCGTTTCCTCTTCATAATAGCAGATTTGGTCCACACATCTTTGCAATGTCTTTCTCATAGAAACAGAATACTACTCGAGGGAGAAAGTATCTGAGAGCATCAGCACCGTGTAGCTTCCAGGGACCTGGTCAGCATTTCTTACGTCTCCGGCATGTGGAGTTACTGTTACCTGTCTGCAGACAAAGGGAACTGCCTGGGAATTAAGTGCTGACAAAAGCAGATTGTAGGATCCAGTGATACGAACTACAAAGAAAGAGACAGGGCTGTTTAAGTGCCGCAGGGCAGAAACAAGCATTGCAAGTGGAAGGGACCTCAACAATGGCTCTACACGGGTGACACGGGGTGGGGGGGCAGCTGCTCAGGGTCACTCAAGGAGCCCAGAAGCAGCTCAGAAGCACTCCGAGCCAGCTCTGCTGGTCACAGGAGCCCTAACTAGGAAAAGCCATGGCAACCTTCCCATGCACGTGGGGCTGGCTGCTTCAGCTCAACAGACCACACATCACCTTTGTGTCCTGGGACGGGAGACTTCCTGCCTCATCTCCAACAATCTGCTGGATCCTTGGACTTGAGTACATGGGTCCTGGAATAATGGATATTTCTTAAAGCCTGGAACCCACCCCACCCCCACCTCCAACCTGAAACTGAAGTCATTACACTGATGTTGGCATTTAGTCTGGACTTGGTCTTCAGGCCCAGGACAGAATTCCTCCTCAGAAGCCTGAAGCCCAGGCCGCAAACTTGCTAACTAAAGGTTCATTCACCCTGGTCTCTCCACAGCGCCCCCCCAGGCAGAGTAGACAGGTTGTTTTCCAAACCGAAGGGGCAGGCCATGTCTACACTTAGGCTGATAGGCTAGCAAAGTAGGGTGCTTTGCCAGGCATCCCTTATACTAATACTTGGCTTTTTAAAAACTACACAGAAAAGATGGGCAACTGTGGCACTCCGGGATGGTTGTACTGTGGTGCTGATGAAGTTTAAATTTTCAAGTCCCTAGCAATTCATAGTTTTCTATTTCTTTCCTTAAAGCAGGCCAGTCCCCTGCTTATATGTGCCCTTTTCCCCATAAAACCCAAGTCTGCCCCTAATGGCACCCTAATCTTTTTAGAGCTTAAGTCTCCAAAGATCTCACCTGTCCTGGGTCGGAGCCCCCTCAGTACCCTCAGCTGGGCTTCGTCCTACACTCGGGGGCCTGTGCTCCAGCCTAGTGACTCCTGTTTCCCCATATGGCGCTCCTGCTCCCAGGATAGCCTCACCTTTCCTTTCTCTCCATGCAAGCAACCCACTTGGAGCCAGGGCACCGGACATTCAGACCCAGGGGGAATCCTTTCCATAAATCCCAGCTTCCCTGGGCCAAACATGCCACAATGGCACACAATTAAATCTGTAGGGACTATGGTAAGTACCAAAGGGCGAGCAGGCCCACCAGAATTCTGCCCAGTTCCAGGGCTGCTACCTCTATGAGCTTGATAACGGAGCATGCAAGATGTGGATTCCCATCCCATTCTCGCTGTACACCAGGTAAAAGGGGATCCAAAGGGGATACTGAGGCCAGGGAGGCACCATCGCTAAGGAGCATCATTCACCCCCACACCTTAGAGGGCTGGGGTCCCGCTTTCCTGGCCCGCCGAAGTCCTGCAGAGCCCAAACCCGACTCACCAAACTGGCAGGGGCCGCCGCGCGCCTTGTGCAGGTGGCCGGGTTGCGCGTGGGGCGCGTACCGGGCGCGCAGACGCAGCGCGCAAATGCTTGGGTAGGTGCGGCCGTCGGAGCCACAGACGGCGCCGCGCTGCGCGCACACGCAGAGTCCGGTGCCCTCGGGGGCCGTCCCCGCGGCCCGGCTCGCGCACACCAGTCCC